TTTTTTTTTTTTTTTTTTTTTTTTTTTTTAGTTCTTCATATATTCTAGATAGTATTGTGTCTGAGTAGTAGCTGACAAAAGTTTGTCCCATTCTGTAGATTATCTCTTCATTATTTCCTTTGCTGTGCAGAAGCTTTTTAATTTGATGTGATCCCATTTGTTGATTTTGGTATTATTTCTTATGCAACCAGTGTTCTATTAAGAAAGTCTTTGCCTACACTTTTGTCTTAAAGTGTTTTACCTATTTTGTCTTCCAGCAGATTGTTTATGTTCTGATATTTAGATCTTTGGTCCATTTTGATTTTAGTTTAGTGCAGGGTGAGAGATATGGGTCCAGGTTCAGTCTTTGGCATGTGGATAACCAGTTTTCCCCAGCACCACTTGTTAAAGGTGTCCTTCTTCCAGGAAGGGTGTTTGGCCCCTTTTTAAAGATAATGTAGTTGAGTGTGCCAGGAATTATTTCTGCAACTTCTGTTCTGTTCCATTGACTCATAGGTCTGTTTTGTTTTGTTTGCCAATTCCATACTGTTTTAATCAGGGTAGCTTTCTAGTATAACTTGAAGTCCAGGATTGTCATGGCCCCTGCCTTGCTCTTATAGCCCAGAATTGCTTTTTAATATTTTAGGTCTTGTTTCATATGAATTTTAGGATTGCTTTCTATAGTTCTATAAGAAATGCTATTGGTATATTAATTGGAATTGTACTAAGTCTGTATAAGTTTTGGAAGTGTGGCCATTTTCACTATATTGATTCAACCTATCCAGAAACAGGATCTTTCTACTTTCTGATGTCCTCTTTGATCTCCTTTTCCAGAGTACTGTAGTTTTCATTGTAGAGATCTTTCACTTTCTTGGCTAGGTTAATTCTTCAGTATTTCATTTTTCTTGATATTATTGTGAAAGTTGTTATTTCCCTAATTTTTCTCAGTGAGTTTGTTATTAGTTATCAGAAATACTATTGATTCTTGAGTGTTAACTTTGTATTCTGTTATACTACTGAATTTGGTTATTAATTCTAGGCGTCTTGGTGGAGATTTTGGATCCTTCTATATAGAGGATCATGTCATCTGCAAATAATTCAACTTCTTCCTTTACTATCTGTATCTCTTTTATTTCTTTTTCTCATCTAATTGCTCTGGTTAATGTTTTGAGAATTATATTGAACAAGAGTGGTTATAGCAGATATCTTTGCCTTGTTCCAATTTTAGAGGAAACACTTGTAGCTTCTTTGCATTTATTATGATA